AGACTAGGGCTAGAGTTGAGGGGTGTAATGTGCACTTCTCTCAGGAATCAAACAGAGTTATGCGTAGGGCGTAGCTATGGTTGCCAAACTTTCAAGTGGTACCAGTGACAGTAGAACTGAACCTAATTGTTGTTGTTGCTTAAGTAATTCAGAGATCCCGGTGTTGCATTCTACTAACAACGTATCAAAGTACTTATGAATACATTGTTTTGTTTTTGATATTGAGGATGTAGACACAAACTCAGTCACTCCCAGATTTTTTTTAACAGCGGGTAAAACCGAATTTATAAGAAATAAAGGGAAAAGACAAAACACACACACACACACACACACACACATGAACTAAATTAGGCAGACATTTTCAGTCATGATCAAGCAGAGCAAATGAATAAGCAAAATTAATGTTCCATGGCCGAATTGGAACCAACGGAAAAGAGTACGGGGATGGTGGTACCGGGAGGCACAACAGAACAACTTGAATGCCACAGACAGACGATGGTGGCCAAATGTTATAGGGCTTGTTGTACTAGCAGCAGTGAGTTATCTTCTTCAGTCTTCACCCTCCGATGGTGCTCCCAAATGCCGGAGCTCTGCCAGTTACAGTGGTGAGCATGTTGGCGGCGAAAGCCAAACCCGTCAAAGTATTTTGCATAACTATGTTCGCTACGTATAACTGGAGATCAAGATTTGGACTGTTATGGGGGCTACAGAAATTCATGATTAAAGATCATCAAGCACTTGTTATCACTGGGATTGACACTACTTTCAGTCACGAGCAAGCATGCAGAAAACAAAGTAACAAGATTACGGATCAAAGGGTAAATGGAGCGAATGGAAAGGTCCGGATGCAGTGGTAACCGGAATCCTGGACAGACGACGGTGGCTGAGGGTGCGGTATTGCAAAGCCTGCCCGTCCAACTCATACGTCTCGGGCAATGTCAGCGCTCTGCTAATTAGTGCCGCCAGCGTTGCCGCTGCGGCCGGAGCCTGGGCCGGTCGAAGCGCTGTCTATCCATCAGCAACGAAAAAGCCAGTCGTGCATGTTCAATACGTGCACTGGGGCAGAGCCGGTCGACGACGGAGAAGACGACCACGCCGTCGCTGCCGTTGTCCTGTTGTCCGAACCGCGCCGCTGATGCACTCCGTCCCCAACCCGATCCACCCCGGCTCTCCTGTCATCACGGTCACTCCGACAGTGCTTGAGCAAGACATGCGCGCAGAAGTACTTCAAACGGCGCGCCACGGGCGCACCCCAACCGCTAGTGTTCTTGCATCAGCCCACAACGGAGGCTGACGTACAAATACAAAAGACGAGAGAATGTCGCCCCTGTATTAGCATCTGTATATATAACTAAAAAGTAAGAAGGCATCCCTCAACGTCCGCCCGGGATAGCGGCCTTCAGGCAGCTCGACCTCCAAAACGCTCCAATCCTTAGACTGCCTTTTGACTTGTATAAACTTTTAAGATAGTTGCTTATTTAACTGAACTGAATTTGCATGTAAACTGTCGCTTCATGTATGGAGAAATGTATTTTTCTCAGTTGTACTGAGCATGTCAGAATGCATAGAAAATAATAGTAGTATGTAACTTGTCTCATAGTATTAAAATGCACGGAAATTAACAAAACAACGGAAATGGTCATAACATGTAGAAACCATATTCTATCACATTACATCAAGGATCTTCAGCTATAACTGAAACATAAAATTTACAGAGTCACGGCTTGCTCTCTAACTGCTCTTACAGCCTCTTCTTCACCTTTGTTCCCAATGTTGTGATTGACCCCTATCTCTAAAGCTGCGGACACATTTGACCGCATGCACACCAGGTTCAAATATTTTACACGAGAAACATAAAATGTAATTATTCTAGAACTCAGAAATTGAGATTTATGTTTTCAGATGCAAGCAGCTCGCTAAGGAAACAAAATATTAGACTACCCTAATTGCTCGACTCACAGTTCAAAGAGAAACAATTGTTCAACCAAATATTATAATTTCTTACAGATAGGAAATAGACCAGGATGCAAGAGTAATCGGAATCGAATCAAAACAAGATTATTCAGAGCACCCACTTGACATCGATGCGATTGAATACGTAACGAGTGCGCTTGTGCTGGACCATCCGGAGGCCGTCTTGGCCACGCTCCATCTCTATGCCGGTAAGAACAGCAAACTGCTTGCCCATTTCAACATCTCCAAAGAGCTTGGCCACGCAAAACCTGTTGTCACCCATGTTGATGAGCCTGAAAAACAGAGGGTACCAATTCTTCTCGCCAGGCAGGGTGGCATTGTCCCAGACGTGCTGCCATGTGGGTGCTTGGCCATCCATGTCCATGGTGGAGAGGTCCACAGCGCATAGGTGGTGAGGTTTTCTGCCGGCCGTGAAGCCCAACAATATGCCCAGTTCGGGAACATGCTCGGCTCTCCCATAGAACGGCAGTTCCCACTCCCCAACTTGCTTCCACACGTCCAGGTGCTTCCACCTAAGATGGTGGGTAGAATCGAAGCACCACGTGTCAAAGCAGTGGGTGCCGATCTTGTCGGACGATATGCAGATAGTGGTACAGCCATTGGCGTCCTTGATTGTTGTGTGGGAGTTAATCATGGAGGGCTGGTATCCAGGTTCACGGACAAATGGAGGAGGAGGAAGAAGCCGCCAATCCCAGCCCTTGTTAGGGACGTTGCCATCATTGGACAGGCCCTTGTACTCAAGAACCTCGAAGCAGGAGCGGGGGTGCTCGCTTCGGTCGGGTACAAACCGAGCCTGGGCAACAGCTTGACCAGGATACCTGTGCAAGACGTAGAGGCTATCCTGCCCGCTGCCTGGGTGGGTGACGGAGAAGCTCACTGGGCTCGTGCCTTTGGCCTGGGAGAGGTTGGGCAGCGCGAGATAGAGAGACTTGTCGGCGTCGAACATGGCGGTGTGGCCAGCCTTGTTGGAGTTGACGATCCGACCCTCGCCGCTGCGGGGTGCGAGGAGCTCGAACCATTCCAGGCCAGGAAACAACACACCAACGGGGGACGGATCGAAGCTCGTGATCGGGTCAGGCAGCCGCCGCAAGGTCTTGTATTTCTTCTTCTCGTCGTTTGCTGACTCTTCTGCTTCTTTTATTGACGGGTAGAAAAGATGCTTGGCCGCTTCGATGCGGCGCAGCGAATAAACGCCGTCGGAATTCTGCGCTACCAGATTCACAAAACGCCGGCGTAACATGATCGATCTGCCAACAAAATCCGTCTAATTAGAGAGAAAACAGATAAAACTGCGGGAGTGAGAACCCCTACATCAGGCGCCAAGCAGGGGGAAGGCTTCCGCTGAGTAATACCTGAAACAGATGATCGACAGGGCTCGCACTTCGCAGCAAGGTCTTGCGTGTAGGGATGGGGTAGACGATGTACCGTGTGCTGGGGCGGGTGGAGGAGAAGGGAGGGGTGGGAGAAGGGAAGCTAGGTCTTGCCAACTTGCCTCTTTTATATATAGCAGTGACTCCTCACTTCGGGCCAGGCCGTGAGGCTATTGCAGGCCTGGGCCGGGCCGAAAAAATAGACCCAGGTCCATACATGCCTTTCCCTCGGGGGAAAAAACTGCTATACATAGAGAGCTCCTGTATTCGGGAGCTCCCGTATTCATGACTTAAGAGAAAATGTTAAAAAAATTCTAAAAATGTTCAAGATTTCAAAAAAAATGTTCACAATTTCAAAACAAATTCATGATTGCGAAATAATGTCCGTTAGTTTTAAAAATGTTCATGATTTTGAAAGAATGTTCGTGATTTAAGAAAAAATGCTCATAATTTCAGAAAAATTGTTCATGGTTTTAGAAAAATGTTCACTTTTTGAAAAAATGTTCACGATTTCAAAACATTGTTCATGAGTTTTAAAAAATGTTCACAATATCGAAAATGTTCACCATTTCAGAAAAAGTTTATGATCAAATAGAAATGTTCACGAATTTGCAAAAGCAAAACCTCAATTTTAGAAAACATTAAATACCTAAAAAATGTTCATCACTAAAAAATCACGAATTTAAAAAAAAATGCAAATTTAAAACAAGAATAAAAATAAAAAAATAAAAACAAAATTCGAAAAAAGGAAAAGATAGAAAAAACCGAAAAAAATAAAACAAAAACAGAAAACCCGGTTTCGGGGAGGTTGAGGTGAAACCCCGGATGGGCCAGCCCACAGAAATAGCAGCGCGCGTGGGGCGCACGCGCTATGTCGCTTGGCAGCGACCTACGCGCTATATAGGAAGCGCAATCCCCCGGGAAAAAACTACTATATATAGCTAGCTGGATCTCCGTGCTGGCCTTTTTTTAGAAAAGGAGAAATACCCCCGGCCTCTGCATCTGGACGGTGCATACGGCCATATTATTAATTATTAACACAAGACCTTACAAAATCGTACAACAGTAAGACCAAAGCCATCGTCTAAGCAACATCTGTCACTACTCCTATCCAGTTGATGAAGGGGCGCTGATAGTCTGGGCCTAATACCAAACAAAGCTCGCAGCCAAACCTAACATCTAAGACTTGAGGTCCCAACCAGGACGCCTGCCGGGTATGAGGCCGCTAAGGGAGTCCTGGATTAGGGGCTCCTCGGACAGCCGGACTGTATACTTTGGTCGGACTGTTGGACTATGAAGATACAAGATAGAAGACTTCGTCCCGTGTCCGGGTGGGACTCTCCTTTGCGTGGAAGGCAAGCTTGGCGATTTGGAGTATATAGATTTCCTTCTCTGTAACCGACTCTGTGTAACCCTAGCCCCCTCCAGTGTCTATATAAACCGGAGGGTTTGGTCCGTAGGAAAGGAACAACAAATCATAATCATAGGCTAGCTTCTAGGGTTAGCCTCCTCGATCTCGTGGTAGATCAACTCTTGTAATACTCATATCATCAAGATCAATCAAGCAGGAAGTAGGGTATTACCTCCATAGAGAGGGCCCGAACCTGGGTAAACATCGTGTCCCGGCCTCCTGTTACCATTAGCCTTAGACGCACAGTTCGGGACCCCCTACCCGAGATCTGCCGGTTTTGACACCGATATTGGTGCTTTCATTGAGAGTTCCACTGTGACGTCAAAGGATAAGGTTGATGGCTCGCCTTGTTATCAAGGACAACATCACCTCTGGGGGAGCCTTGGCCTCGGTCCAAACCCTCTGGCAAGGCGGTTTCATCATGACCGCCCGCTCGGCCGTTGAGCCCACGATGACCTCTCGGGTCATCGAGAATCGTCTCCGCATCAGCTCAGAACTTGCCGAGCAGATGGATCCGACGAAGCTATCGTCTTTGAACGAGCTCTTAGATCGCATCGCCGCCCTGGGAGTCGCTACAGACTACGACCAAATTGGGCTTAAACCCGATCAGAGGAAAATTAATTCCCCTTCGGTCACCCATCAGATAGCGGTGGTGGAGGAGCAAAGCAATAACTCTCCTCCCATACTAAGGACGGACTATGTCCAGATTATCGAGCTCACCGAGCTGGATACCCGTTCGCGAGAAGAAGTGCCCCAAGTCCCGGACTTAGAACCGGACTGTGGGTCCAAAAAGTTGGGTAATATCCTGGAAGCCGGATTGTTAAATTCGGAAGCCCTTCAAGCTCTGGGTCTCAGACCGGGTCGGGATTCGGATTTAAATCCACCCACCCGCCCAGATGCAAGTGATCTTTCCCATATCAGACAACAACCCCAAGAAACAGTACATCACTTTTGGGCCAGATTCCTCCTTGTAATGAAAAAGGTTAAGGATTGTCGCGAGGAAGACGCAATCTCGTTCTTTTGCAGAAATTGCTCGGACAAGGGAATTCTTAACGCCATAAGACGCCGTCGCATATCACACTTCGCTGACTTGGCGGCCATAGTACAAAAGTATTGCGCAATGGAAAGCGTCTGGAAAACCCAGGCATCCTTTTGGGACCCACTGGCTCTCACTAAACCCCTCGTCCGAACAAAAAGGGTGTACCCTCATCAGTCACCCGATCCAATCATGAAGAAGCCGAAGCCCACTACAGGGTGCGGAACTATATTGGAGGGATGGCTCAATAGGTGATGTCTACTACACAACCTTCTTCTTGTAGACGTTGTTGGGCCTGTAAGTGCACAGGTTTGTAGGACAGTAGCAAATTCCCCTCAAGTGGATGACCTAAGGTTTATCAATCCGTAGGAGGCGTAGGATGAAGATGGTCTCTCTCAAACAACCCTGCAACCAAATAACAAAGAGTCTCTTGTGTCCCCAACACACCCAATACAATGGTAAATTGTATAGGTGCACTAGTTCGGCGAAGAGATGGTGATACAAGTGCAAAATAGATAGTAGATATAGGTGTTTGTAATCTGAAATAATAAAAACAGCAAGGTAACAAGCGATAAAAGTGAGTGTAAACGGTATTGCAATGATAGGAAACAAGGCCTAGGGTTCATACTTTCACTAGTGCAAGTTCTCTCAACAATAATAACATAGATAGATCATATAACAAGCCCTCAATATGCAACAAAGAGTCACTCCAAAGCCACTAATAGCGGAGAACAAACGTAGAGATTATGGTAGGGTACGAAACCACCCCAAAGTTATTCTTTCGGATCGATCTATAAAAGAGTTCGTACTAGAATAACACCTTAAGACACAAATCAACCAAAACCCTAATGTCGCGTAGATACTCAATTGTCACCTCAAGTATCCGTGGGCATGATTATACGATATGCATCACACAATCTCAGATTCATCCAACCAACATAAAAGTACTTCAAAGAGTGCCCCAAAGTTCCTACCGGAGAGTCAAGAACGTGTGCCAACCCCTATGCATAGGTTCCCAATGTCACGAAACCCGCAAGTTGATCACCAAAACATACATCAAGTGGCACATGATATCCCATTGTCACCACAGATAATCATGGCAAGACATACATCAAGTGTTCTCATAAAAGACTCAATCCGATAAGATAACTTCAAAGGGGAAACTCAATTCATCACAAGAGAGTAGAGGGGGAGAAACATCATAAGATCCAACTACAATAGCAAAGCTCAGGATACATCAAGATTGTGCCATAGAGGAACACGAGAGAGAGGGATCAAACACATAGCTACTAGTACATACCCTCAGCCCCGAGCGTGAACTACTCCCTCCTCGTCATGGATAGCGCCGGGATGATGAAGATGACCAGTGGTGATGGGTTCCCCCTCCGGCAGGGTGCCGGAATGGGCTCCCGAGAGGTTTTTGGTGGCTACAAAGGCTTGCGGCGGTGGAATTCCCGATCTATCTTCTGTTCTGTAAGTTTTAGGGTATGTAGGTATATATGGGTGCAAGGGGTACGTCGGTGGACCTCCGGGGTGCTCACGAGGCAGGGGGCGCGCCCAGAGGGGTAGGGCACGCCCCCACCCTTGTGGGCAGCCCGGGACTCCCTTACATGCACTCCAAGTCTATCAAGTGGGTTTCCTTCCAAAATTAACTTCTCTAGTTGATTTCCTTCCGTTTTGACTCCGTCTGATATTCCTTTTCCTCGAAACACTGAAATAGGCATAAAACATCAAATCTGGGTTGGGCCTCTGGTTAATAGGTTAGTCCCAAAAATAATAAAAAAGTGAATAATAAAGCCCATAATCATTCAAAACAGATAATATACTAGCATGAATGCTTCATAAATTATAGATACGTTGGAGACGTATCAGCATCCCCAAGCTTAATTCCTACTCGTCCTCGAGTAGGTAAATGATAAAAGAAAGAATTTATGAAGTGTGAATGCTAGAGGTGCACAAGTTTGATCAATGATAATTTCAATCACCTTTACTAGCATCATTATAGGTCATAACAATAGTTCATCTCATAAAACTTTTCACGGTAAAGTAACAAGCAATTCACATATCAAAGCATAGACCATAAACTTTCTTCAAAAACTAGCAAACTTCATTCTTAGTCATCAAACAATTGCAATTCATCTTACTTTCAGGAAGAGTCTATGTCAGAGCTTTGATTTAGCAAACTTCACATACTCAACTATCATATAGTCTTCTACAATTGCTAACACTCACGCAATACTTGTGGTTATGAAGTTTTAATCAGACACAGAGAGAGATTGGGGCTTATAATGTTGCCTCCAAACGTATTCACCTTTGGGTGATGTCAACAATAATAGTTCATGCTAACGTACATCCAATTGGATATATATATATATCAGGATCACCCCACCACGAAGTGCTTGCCAAAGGATAAAATGAAAAAG